TTATTAAAGACACTATTATGCAAAGTACCACCTAAACATCAGAAAATGACTGTGAAATTGAAAAAGTTCTGATTAAGTGTTAAATATATATGTGTGGTAAGAAGCTCCATATAGTGGGCATGCTTTCAAGAACACCCATAACCAATAAAAGCAAAGAACATCATGAAAAAGTAGAAAAAAATGTGGTTCAAGAACTACTCATTTCCAATTCAACAAGCTCACGCAAGAAACATTTGGCTGACTCAGTCTTGAAGGAGACTGAAAGATTATTCTGTTGGTCATACAACTAGAATAAGCATAGGCACTCCAAGTAAAAACACTATTTGAGATGACAGAGGCTAGATCGCTAACTATGATAGGATTTAGACAATGAATGTAATACCAGCCCTCAGAATGCCTCCCAAATGTTCAGCGTGATCAACATTGTCCAGTTGAAAAGTATAAAAGCAGAACCGAAGGAGTCCTATTTCAGGCAGGCACAAGTGATATCTAAGACTTGGACAGCCAAGTATGAACTCTATAATAAAGACAGATAACAAAGTGCAAAAGAAACACAGAAACACCATAAAATTCCTAATCACCCTTGGTATATTACTGGTATAGATCTAGTTGAATGAAAGAGGAAAGTGTTTGCTCAGATTTTTTTTAATAAGTTGTTGCACAGTACATCAAGTAGCAGTGGATTAACACATAGTAAATCACAGTTTGCTTGCTGTGCATTTCCAGATAAGTTAAAACCAGGTAATGGCCTACAGTTTGTAAGTGGTTCATTTCAGCAATTCTCTCTGATACATCAGTTGTGGCACAACATACCAAGTCTATGCTGTATATAATCAAATGGGCTGGCAGATGGTAGATGGCAGAGAGCTTGGTAAATAAAATATTGAAGATGGAAGGGATCTATATTTGTCATTCTTAGATTATCACAACATACCTTGAACACTTTATTGGGCTAACCAGTTCCAAGGTTTGTAGACAGAGAGAAAAACACCAGTCTAACATACAATAAATTTCTTAAGTAGTCAATGCATCCTAAAATACAGTTAGAAAAAAAACTGTTGATATATGCCAGAAAGCCAGAATGAGAAAAATGGCAATAATGCCAAATAATTGTTTCTATTTAATTGGTACATTTCCATCAGCAGGTGACTGGGAACTTACCGAGGTTTGATAACAGTTTATTAACTGTTTGATATGGTTAATAACTGTCCACCTTAGAGTCAGTCCTGCAAGAGAACTAGAAGGCACATGCTGTTTCTTAGGGACACCCAGAATGCAGCTGGCACTGCTCCTGTAGTGATAGGAGTAACACATGCCCACCCAGTCACTGTCAGTGAAAAACACCAGGAGATGAAAACACAGATGCCAGGGCTGCTGAACAGGTGCAGGAGGAACTGCTTGAAAATAAAGACTGAACATGTGATTTGAAAACCACTGCAGTACATAGAAGGTAGCTACTAACAGATGTCCTAGGAGGTAGAATAATCCCTTCAATGTGAAGAGGATTCAGGTCTTCTACCCTGACCTTCATTCTAGACATTACTATTTGTATATATTATTAATTAGTTATTAATTTTGTTTCAGTTACCTTTTGCTGGTGCTGTTTCAGTTGCATTTTAAGAGGTATACTAACCATTGGAGTGACCAGATACTGACCCCTGCCACGTGACAAGGGTATAGCCTTATGTAACTCTATCCTATAACAGGCGTTTAGGGCTAGGGTTGATTTAGCAGAATGTCTATGTTTCAAGGGAATAAAAAGCACTACCTTCTAAATGGGGAGAAGATGAGCTGAGTCAGGTTACAGGCTGTGCAATATGCTTATTCAAAGCCTCCAAAGAGCTTGCAGAGCTCTTGTAATAAAAAGATGAAGCAGAGACCTGATATTACTAATGCATAAACAAAAAAAAAAGCAATGTTGTTATGTTTGTTAAAGAATATAGAAGCCATATTTATAACACCACAAGGGAAAATTAAAGGGCAAATGCAATGTTTTGATTTTCTTTTTTTTTTCTTTTGCACGTCAGTTCCAAGTGACTTGGTCGAAGACACAGAAGAAAGTGATATCAAAAGGTGGAGGAAAGAAATAATCCAAAGGGGAGAACAAAGCTAAACTAGTTGTAAGGGGGAAAAAAGTGCCTGGCAAGAAAGCAAAGACATCTGCACATAAGGACAGTAAAGCAGACTTGTCACACCCATCACGAACTGTGACCTTGAAAAGAATGGAGTATCAGAGAAGGTGCCATAGAAATTTCACATCAGCAAGGGCCGTGGAGATGGAGCACACTACAGGCATGATGACAGACAAGGTGGGGACTATTCAAGTACACACAGAAATACTGAGCTCATTGTAACTCAGCCCCCCGGTACTTGAACAGATTCGTAGAGTGACCCACAGACTAATAAGCGCAAAGGGAAGATGGAGACTCCTTTGGCCTGCAGCCATTTGAAGGAATAGGATATGTCTACATAGCAGGAGATGTACTTGAGTTAACCTACCTAGCTCAGGTGATAATAACCATGAAGATGAAGGGACATGGGGTAACAAGCCTGCCATGTGTATATACAGGAGGCTGAATCCTATACTGCACTAACCTCACTGCTGTTGGTACCCAAGCTAACTAGATTAAAGCTACCTCCAGTTTACCTACCCATGCCACAATTACACCTCTCAGTGGCAAAGTAAACATACCAGGGCACAAAAAGGCTGAGTGAGTGGAGAGAGGATGTAGAAGCATGTGTCTGAGAAGAGGAGTGAACATGCTCTCACCTTACTAGTCCTGACAACTTTTACCACAAATGTCTCCTTTAAAGTTAACCACTCAGCCTTAGGTTAGTTTGAGTGCTCTCCATTTCATCTGGTACAATATTACATTCTCTCTGTTACCTTCCATTCCTCTTTCTATAGCTGTGCCTCATATTGCAGGTAGCAGTTTATAGCTATATACTTCTCCTGGAACCACTTCACTGTACAAAATGATTCTATGTGATCCACACCCTTGTGTTTTTAAAAGCATTCTGTGTTTTTTGTTACAATTTCCTTTGCTTTCCCCACCAATATTTTACAGACCAATTCAGCCTAAAGCAGGTGTGTCAAAGATGCAGCCCATGGGCCAGAACTGGCCCACATAGCCATATCATCCAGCTATATTGTCCACATCATCTCCAAGTGACCCACTACCATTACTGGGTGGTCCTGTATAATACCCACAGAGCAGCGGAGTGGCTGTCATGTGCAGCACAGCCCTGGAGTGGCCACACACAGCTCTGGAACCATGCGGTATAGCCCTGCGGCTGCTGGAGAAGAACCAGAATGTGGTCTGTGGGTCTGGTGCGGTCTGTAGACTGGCTCCACACCACTCATCTGGCCCACAGGGCCATGTGAGTTTGACGTCCCTGGCCTAGAGGTAATAAATAAGCATGAGATTTTAGCTCTTTGCTCTCAGTCTCATACTTACTCCATTTTATAATAGAACAAGAACAATTCCCCCAGCTGTCTAAAGTCCTAATATTATTCTAAGGAAATCAGCATAGGTCTTCCATTTCCTTTATTGGATATTGGATCCGATTCCAATAGTTAGATCCAAATCAGCAATAGTAACTGGCTGATGCTGAACCCAAAACTGAGGTAATGTTGGCAGGAAGATGACAAAACTGAGCCTAGCAATGTTGGCAGAAAGATGAGGATGAGTGGAGAAACAGCCTCCTCTCGTATTGTTTACTATCTAGAGCATGTGTCTACAAATGGAATTTCAAAAGTAAGTCTGTAGACTAAATTAACAACCCAAGTATTATTTGCTGCCCAAAGAGTCATGTCAACCAAACTTCCCATGTCTATATGGACATTGACAAGAAGATTGCACCCAAAACTCTTGGATAGAGAGCCCACGATGTTCCACTCAGATAAAATGTTGACTGTGGCTGAGTAAGTACAAAGGCAGACAGACAGACACAGAGCAGTGACCTGACTTTTTCTCTAGAGTAATTAAGATATGCAAAGTCTTTAGTTCCCAAAGAAAAAAAATGTATATTAATTAATATCTTAAGTAACTTGACCAAGCTGTTTGCTGATTCTTTGCAGGATGATCCTTTATTAACTTAGGTAGATCCAAGTCCAGGAAGGTCCAGTGATAGGGATGACATGCTTGGAAGAACAGGGTTCAAATATCTGTTCTGCCAAACACTTCCTGAATGACCCTGAACAAGCAAGTTAGACCCAGATTCACAAAGGTATGAGGTGCCAAATTCCCATTCATTTCAATAAGATTTAAGTGCCTAAATATTTGAGGAACTGAGCATCAGGAACAGATTTTTAAAATCTATTTAAGCACCAAAAATGCAGATAGGCACTTCACGGGAGTTTCAAAGGTGGCTACATGTCTAAAAAACAATCATTTTTAAGGGACTTTAGATACCTAGGAATTAAAAAGAAACCCAAAACAAACAAACAAAAAACAAAAATCTTACTTGGGACAATCTTTATAAAGGCTTTTAGGTGCCTGGAACTAGTCACCCAAATCTCTGACATTTGGATTAGTGGCATTGTACCTCAGTTTCCCCAGTGTACAATGGGGATAATCATATTTTTCTTATCTTAAAGGCTTTTTTGAAAATAATCACACCACAGATTGCAAGGTTTTGAGATAGTATAGCAACACATGCCATCGAAATATAGCCAAAGACTGTGTCCCTTGTTTTTGTTTGTTTTAATTATTTATGTGAAAAGTCAGTGAATAATAGAACAGTATTGACAGAAGTAGGCTTGACAAACCTATTTTGCAAGTGCTAAGCAAATATTTACAAACAAGGCAAACAGCATGTCAAAAAAAGAATATGGAATAACGTTAGTACTGTTTTGCAAGTCTGAAGGTATCATTTTTATTCTGACTCTACAATAAAATTCTCGAATACCCTTGTGACTACCCTCAGGCTGTAGCCCTTTGGAATACTACTGCCTTCTGGCAGAGAGGGACTTGACTTGCTCTCCCCGCCATCTGATGGTCTGTGATTTCACCTGCCACATCTTGTTCTTCCAATGGTTACAGGCTTTCAGCATGGCTGGGGAGAAAGATGACTAATATTTGCTCTCCGCACAGTGGTCTCTCTTTCAAACCAGGCTCACCTGCATGGCAGTCTCTCAGGGTGTCTTGCCTTCAGGGCTTACCCACTCATGGCCCTGGAACTGAGCAGTATTTCCCCCTGACGAAGGTCCTGTCTCTATATTACTTCCTCCCTCTGTGTCTGGCTTCTGTGGTCAAGCCTCTGGGAAAGGCATGGCCTTCACCTTGGACTAACATCCTTAAAGATACACAGCCCTCTTCATATGTATTAGGGCCAAGGGGTCCCTATTACAAGCCAAAAATTATCATTTTCTGTCCTGAGGTTTCGACAAGCATGGCAATACCCCCATGGTCACCTAGCATTTAAAGCAACAAGCTCTCCAGAATTTTTTAAAACTTTCAGATTTTGGACCTTTGTCAGCATCCTCAAAGTGTTCCTGAAACAGGACTTCTGATCCAGTTTGAAAATTGGATCCTAACCAGCCCTCCTGACTCCTCCCACAGATACTCCAGCAGTACCAGGCAGCTGGCTGCTGTGTCTGCCGCCAGCTTGTAGCACAATGCTGCCTAAGGGCGTGTATAGACTAAATGAAATGTTTGGTTTACGTCGATGCAACTGCGTTTGTGTTTGCACGACTGCTACCCAAACATAGCACAATGCTTCTGGTTCAGGAAATAGCCCTGAGCACTGTTCATAGGCAAAGTAGCTCTGCCCTGTGCCCACAGTGCCACACTAAGGCTGGTACACTCACTGGAGCCAGAAGGGACAGAGATTCCTTACAGTTCTGAAGGTCTGGGTGGTGTCTGGGATTATGTCCAGGATTTTGCATCCAAAAAGTTGGTTGCTTCAATGGAGTTACCTAGGCAGAAAGATTGAGTAACATAGAGGTAAATTAAAATCCTACTGGCCAGATCTTCAATGGTATTTAGACACCTCAATCCCAGTAATTTCAGAAAGGGTTCATAATCTACATAACTCTGGGGATATCTAGGTGGTTTTACTTTCTCAGCTGTAAACAGAAACTGGAGTAGGAGTTACCATCATCCTTTATCTGCCTCATAGTGATATTGTGTGGATTAATTCAATAAAGGTTTAAATGCACCTTGACATCCTTTGGTGGAGTCAATGTACAGCATTCAGGTTAATTAAATAGTAATCATTGTTAATAAGTATTAATTATGATTACCCCAAGTCTGGCTCTCCTACTGGTCAAGGGAATAATAATGAGAAAATTGATGGGAATGAAAATTCAGGGCACAGAGGATTTGCAAGCTAAAGACCCAGATTTCTTTTTAGATAGGGTATTAGCATGGATGCAAGCAAAGATAACGAATCTGATCCTGAAGTCTTTGTACCAGTAAACTCCCAGCTGGAATTCAGTGGGAGCATGGACTGACAGATCAGATCCTCCATTTTTCAAAGTGTATTTCAAAAGCTAAGCATTTCATTCTCCAGGCAATGATGAAGGCCATGATTCTGCCAGGCCTTGACGTTGCTAATGTAAAGCCATCAGTGGGGTTACATTTTTGCAATCTGAGCTAGACACACACATTCAACAGAGCTATTACATCCATGGAGGATCTGCCCCAGTATGGTTACCTCAACCCCATGCACTGCTCCATGCTGACCATTGTCTGTGATCAGGCAGAATCCCTTATTGGTTTGGGTCCCCAGGGATCTGCACAATATTTACATCAAGACTTCTATTGCCATAATCTCAAAAGCTCCCAACTGGGGATTGGTGTTGGCTCATGTCAAGTGGAGTACACAAGAAAACAAACAGCCCATCCTTTCCATAAAATGCTTTCAATCTCAGAGCAGCTAATACTGCCACAAGCAATCCATTCTGGTTTGCCTGATGGTATCTTCATCCTGTCAACAGTATCTATGTAGAGATCATTAATAATCACAGAGAAATGTTTATTATTGTTTTGTCCACCACACCTGTTCAATAAATACTTGCTTCAAAGGCAGTGATGGTGCAGAATATTATGAAAGGTATGTGCCTCCTTTTCATTGTATTGTATTTATTGTCCTAGATTGTCAATCTAATTTGAAAATGGTTAGTTTGTAAATTGCTACAGATAACTGTTTTTAGACTGGAAAGTAGAGATTCTATCATTGTCAGTGTTTCCATGATATCCCCCACCAAAATAGAGTTTACATAAATATAATGAGAGACAGAGTTGGGGGGGGGGGGGGGTACACGTACTTTATCACAGCCAGACTACATTATCATTAAACTCAAATAGTTACACAGCATTAACATTATTTCAAGAAAATATTAATTTAAATTATAAAACTTAAAATCCAAAGGTTTTGTCCTGTGTCATCAATTACCACTGCGACCGTAACATTTGTTTAGAAGTTTTCATCTTTTCCAGTTGTTTACTTATTTTACTTTATTAAAATGTGCCCATCAAAAGGTATAAGTGCTGGATAATTCTCCTGTCATTTCTGAAGACTCTTTGGAGACTCTCCTCTCCAGAGCAAAATCTTTGGAAAATAAGAGTGTTTCAAAGACAAGCTTGGGAACTCAAAAATATATTACTACTGGTCAAAACTCTCCCTGTTTTTAAGCTGTGTTCAGACACTGAGTGCTAGGCAGCTTCCTTAGCCAATACTGAATGTATAGCTGCACTTTATGCCTTCGGGCTAGAGAAGATTTCTTTACTAGAGATGCAATCAGCTCTGACCAATCAGTAATAAGGGTTAATCAGCTGATCGATTGGTCCCTGAGCAGCCTGGACCTGGCTCCTCTCTGACTGGCTCTAGCCTGGCCTTGGGGCAAGAGGTTGGGAACTTTTAATTATCAGCAGCAGCTACTCTACTGATTGAATGGTCAATGGGTTTACTACTGAGGCTTCACTGCTTGAATAATAATAGAAAACAATGTGAGCACAGAAGACCACAAACAGTGGGGCAGCAAGATGCATGGATATGTATAACAAGAGATAAGGAGAGTTAATTACCTGGCAAAAACAACACTTTAGGGTCAGGAGGATATTTAATGCATGTGCTGGGATTTTATTTGTTTTGCTATAATTTACTCTACCACCATTATTGACTCATAATTTAGCTACAGAGCAATCTGATAATCCACTTATAGCTAGAAATTATCACAAGAAGGTATTATTTTAGCACTGCAAGCATAGTTGAACTAGATAGATAAATTACACCAAATCAACATTTTAGCTTTTTCTTATATAAAGAAATCCATTGTGTAAATTATTACATATGTACGTGTGTGATATACACAAGTATATTTATCCTAATACATAGGTAATATGCATATAATGTAGGAGGTAAATCATAGAAAAATGCAGAATTCATGATAGATAAATGCAGAATCTGATGTTAATTCTGTAAAATTTGAGATAAAATTCTAGGCATAGTATACATTTTATCATCACCTAGAAATTTTAATTTGGTGACGGTTAAATTATCAATCACACTGGTCACTAAGAACATAAAGATCTATTGTGTTTTAGAGATCTGTATATTTTGCTATTGAAAAAAAATACACAGACCCTCAGGAACTAAAGAAATGTTCATATCCCCTTGTATTTATAGTGTCAGATTCTGTGCAAAGGCTATTGAAATACACAAAGAAACAACAAAAACTGCATACCACTTGCAGTACCACTAGACTTATTCATTCATCATAACATAATAATTTTTGATGGTTGTTGAAAAGAAGCATATGTTTAGAGCGGACATCAAAAGAACAGCCCAGCATTTAGATAAGACAACTAAAACTCCGTTTTAAAGTTTCTAACCTAATCCTGCGTAAAGATCGAACAAAGAGTCAGAGAGCAAAATTATGTTATTTAAACTGACACCACCTAAATCAGAGCCTTTCTTCTGTGATCTCACATAAACACAGTGTGTTCATCACATTGAGCCAGCTTCATTACTATTTATATTACCATACACTGGCTGTCTGCAGTCAATTCATAATTGTCCAGTTTTTCTAATTAATCACAAAAGATTTTTGTTTTGCCTACAGCTAGTTCTGGGGTGACTCACAATGGCAAGCCAAAGCTCATATATCAAACACAGGCCCTCTTCACTCCAGCCTTCTGCTGGGGAATGCTGCTTAGCTCTTCTTTACCACCGAGGTACTCACTGGGCATGTGCAGCCTGAGGCAAAGGAGAAGCATTGCGATCTGTCCTCTACCGTGTGACTTGTTATTTTTATCTGATGCTTGCATTCTCAGCCCAAACCAGATCCAGATATTTTGGCAAGATTTCTTCATTCAGAGCATTTGATTTCTCTCTCTCTCTCATCAAGCTGCTTGAGATTTCTAGGGTTTCCAAGTGAGCTGGGTCAAATATTGCTTAAACTTCTACACTATTGATATTTTCCTAATTAGCTCAGAATAACCAGTAAATGCTAGGAGGGGGATTAAACCAGCTGCTGAATGTCTGCGATGCTGAGGTTGCTTGGTGAATTATTTGCAGTAGGCCAGATTGTGAATCCCTCCCTCTCACCAGTGAAAGCACTCACTCACAGGAGTAGTGGCACTGACTTCAATGGGATTACTCACATGAGTAACAGCTGGTCAGTGTAAGAGGTTTGCAATCTCCTCCCCACCCCCCACCCCCAAATTATTGTTGCCAAAGATTTGACAATGCAAAAGCTACTATGTGAACAAGGAAACCGGGGTAGTGATTTTGATTGCATCAAATGACTAACTAATGGGATATTTTTAATCTCTGTTTATATAAAATATTGCAATGAACATTTAATCTAGGAAGATACAAAAACTATGAAGGAAATATCACAACTGAGGGTTTGCCTAGTTGTGAGAATTTACCTAGTTGTGACTGGGTTTTATCAATGCCAACAGTAAAAAGGGATAGATCCACACTCTTCCTAAAGAGCATTCAGACTTCACACTGCTAACTGGAGCCTTATTCATAACGTGGAAATTTTCTTAAAGATGCATCTATCAATGTGATCTTCTTTGACCATATTCTCCCACTGCTGGGTCTGCAAAGAGTCAGCCGAGTGGCAGGAGGATAACATTGTATTAATACACTGTACACTCAAGCAAGGCTGTTTGGAAGAAGAACAGCTGTGAAAGCACCTCCTGTGCACAGAAGAGGCAGCAAGGGCTATCTGCATAGTTAGGCATGGCCAAACTATGCACATATGCATGTTTTCTCTGCCTGAAATGGAAAGATGCATTTTCCTCATGGCAACACTGAAGGGAGAAAAGAAAAAATTTTGCTAAGTTACAGGAGATTTCAAATGTGTCCTTTTTGGGTGGAAAGTTCATTCTGGCTAGAAAGGCTGAAAACAATGAACTATGTTGTGGAGTTCAATATTTTGAACTATTGATTATCCAGCTGAAAACAGATCTACTTCTTTGCAAATAAAGTTTTTTAAAATGGTAATGTTCCCATCTTTTTTTGAACATCTGTATGTGGCCTGAAAGTATATTGTTGCTATATACAGTTATTCTTTCTAATGGCTGCAATTTTTATTAGTTCTTCATTAATTCATTAACTCAAATTTTCCCCAATAGCTAGTCTCTCCAAAAAGCAGTTATTTTGAAGATATCTTCCATACAGGCTACATTTTGATGTTTACCAAACTTGCTGATCCTGAACTCAAAGGACAGATTACCAACTCAGAAGGTGTGACACCATCCATGAGACTCTGATATGATATGATTTTTCAACACTTAGAGAAATGATAGTGTAAATATAATGTAGACAGTACATCTGGATTCTAAAAATGTGCATGTTAGGTGTAAAACAATGTGCTGATTTCACAAAAGCAAAAGAAGATTTCCTGGCAGGGTAGTATTAAGTAATTCATCATATAATTAACCTTCAAATTACAGAGATTATTTGGTTTTTAAAAAGTTAGACACAGTGTAATGACATAATATTTGCAAGGCAACCATAGTGTAGTTACAGTTGCTGCTTTTTAAAGTAGCCAGTTTTATCTGTTCCAACCCCTTTTAATAGCTCCTTATTTCATTATAGGCAAAGTATTATTATACCAGTTTTACAAATGAGTAAACTGATACAAAGAGAAATTGTCACTTGCCTCTGGTGATTGAGTCAGTGACAGACTCAAGAGTAGGACTTAATCCTGATTCCCAGTCACCTTTTCTAAACATGATACATAATCCCTTCCAATATGTGCAGCCCAGATAGAAAACTGTAATCAGAAAGGAGAGGGCAGAAACTTAGGCCCTCACCAGTGATTTTGTGGTTCTACCCTTACTATTTCTCTTTGTCTCTTTTTTAGTCTTCTAGAAAGGTGATTGTGAAAGGCGTCTCCAGGAACTGGGTAGATTGCACTTGCCACCTCACCTGTTCATTAGCAACACTAGAAGAACCTACCTTACTTCTTTTAAGGTTCATCTAGGCTAGAAGAAAAGGAGATGTCTTTTAAAAAAATGGTATTGCTAACACATTTTACCTAATGCAGGCCATTTGTATTTTAAATAATGTTACAAGGTTCGGAATGGAATCCTAGAAGAGATTGTTCTCAGTCACATACATGTATGGAGACTCAGATTATATAATTTCTCAAATTCTGATGCGTGCAATATTAGATGCGGAGGTCATGACATCTGAAATATCTGATCATGTTCCATTTTCATTAATCTGTCACAGGAGCCACCAGAAGATGATAATTAGGAAAACCAAGTGCTTTCTCATTACAGGGCTAATATTTTGCTCTTCTCTGAAAAAGGAATACACTTCTATTTAACAGATCAGTGTGGGTGGAACTCTATTTTTTGTGTCATACTCAAGACTTTGATTCCTCATCAGACCTCCCTCACACAGGAGAAGGTTTTAAAATAAACTGAAACAAGTTTTAATGGTTTGGTTTGGTTTGTTTGGTTTGGTCTGGTTTTCTAGAGAACTCCTTTCTATGGAACCAAGACAAATTTGTTGCTGTTATGTGATGATGTCACTTACTGTTACTCATATTAATTTCTTACTTTGAGGGAAAAAAATCTTTAAAATGCATATACATATGCAATCATATTTAAAAACCTAGAGCTCATTTGCAAGGAAGGCCCTTGTACCAAGCAGTGTAATTTACTGACTTCAAGCCCAATTCTGTATTTTTAGCGTGCTTATTTGTGAATTTAACTCTGTCATAATGCTAGCTGAATAGTGAGCTTCCAGTTACTTCTATAAAAGTATTTCGAAGTGATCAGGTAATACAAGCAGCAGGGGAGGTGGCCAAAAGTGACTTTCTGTCATCCATGTATTAATAGAATGGTCAGATGAATGTAACATCTTGAAATACCAAGCATTTTTCCCTGCTATTGTTACCTTGGCATTCTAAGTAGCCCAGTGTGCAAAGAATGTTGTTAGATACAAATTGCATGGTGCTTTTCATTCCCATTTAAGAGTCCCTCTAATTCCCTAAATTGAGTCTTTAAAACAACCCAACATTTTAATGAGATTTCTGCATACATCTATGGAATATTTATACACTATTGATCTGAGGTTGGATAATTTCAGGAAGACAATATGATTCAGGAAAAGCTATGTGCAGCTCTTCTACTGATTCCAAAATACAGGTCTCAATTTATAGAGCACAAAGGCCGCTGGTCCTTCGAGGCATAAGTACGCAGGGAAAGAATCAGACAGATACCCCAATCCTGGGTCCTCTTAAACCCAGTCAGCTAGAGAACTTGACATGTTCTCCATGTGGCTTCTACGTACTGAGTACAGAAAAAAGTTTCAGGGGGGAGGTTAGAAATAAGAGGGGCAGTTTTCATCTTAGCCATATCCAGCCAGAGGCATCTTGATGTGGGTTGCCCTTCCATATACAATGCGCATGGACAGAAATGTGGGAGTGTCAGGAAAGTTAGAATATGCATACAAAGTTAACCTCTGTGCATTTTGAGGGAAGAAAAATATTCAGGGAAGGCTTGAATGTATTCCAGGATACAAGCTCTAAGGCTGCGTGAAGACATGAGAAAAAAAAACAGTGCTTTACTTTCAACTCAGCATGCCCCCACACCAAGCAAAGTGCATGTCCAGAAGAGAAATCGCATCAATTTGACCCAGCTCACGCAGCGTTTGTATAGCTCATGCACTTCAGTGGGGCTTTTTGGCACTTTTATCTAATAGCTGATTGAATCAGCTATTAAATAAAAGCACCAAAAAACACCACGGAAGCACACAATCTGTAGACACTGAGGAGCCGGGTCAAACTGATGTGATTCCTCTTCTGGTAAAGTGTTAGGTGTTTTTTTTCCCCACATCTGTCAGAAGCCTAGAAGACTGGGTGAAATTTTAATTGGTCCCTTGTACTGATTACAGTGTGTTCAGGATCCTTCTTGTTGCACTCCATGCTCTTCCTTGAAGTACAGGCCCTACATAGTGAGTTTTATTTTTTTTACCAAGCTAAAGAGGATATATTTTATCATAGTGGCTTCAAATCCAGTGTGTACAGGCCAACACAAACAGGGTATTACAAGTTGAAGAACTGTACCTCAGGCACCATTTTATTAGAACTAGTGTTTACATCAAACAATACATCCTAAGTACTTTATATTAAGGTTGGACAAATCATTTCCCTGCGGATTAGGGTGTTGTGCCATTGAAATGTAATCCTTCTGTTGATTTTTTTTTTGTAACTGCCGAACCAAACATGGTCAAATCAGTAGTTGTTAAAACCAGAAGAGTCAAAATCTTAAACTCAGTCTCAGAGTCTTATCTTAAATTCAGAAGGTTAAATTAAAGCAAAAGAATAAAATCAGTAGGCAGGTTTGCAAGCAAGTTTCTGTGCTACAAGAGAGATGATCCTTTCTGTAGTTAAAAACACTCTATACCAGTGGTCATCAACTGGTCAATCTTGATTGACTGGTAGATCTCAGAGCCTCTTGGAGTTGATCCGAGGCTGGGGTGGGGGACTGAGCACGCACATGCATGCACGCATGTGCCCCAGCCCAGCAGATCAGTCCATGGGGGAGGGAAGGGGAAGAGGGAGGGACAGAGTGCTGCAGAGGCAGGAGTAGGGGTAAATTGAGTAGGGCCCCAGCTGGGTGGATGGTGGGAGGATCGAGCCTGGGTGACTCATCCAGTGGTGCAGGGGGGGCTCCCACCACTGTGCACAACCCGGCAGAGGCCCTGGGGGGCACATGCCCTTCCATCTGTGTGTGGCAGAGGCAGCTGCCATTGTGAGCTAGGCTTTGCACCCCAAGCCCTGCTACAGCTGGCCTGGGAGTGGCCCAATGCCACATGCGTCCAGCCTCTGGGCAGGCAAGGGAAGAGGCT